TCTAGGTCACCCCTCCTTTCTGTGTTTCCATCTTGTCTCAGGTCTCCCAGCGTTGCTTACTCCACTCCCTTCCTCAACTAAGCCACTATGCACTCCTTGCATCGAGTGGCACTAGATGGACCTCTAGGGCCTTGGCCTCGTCGCTGCTCTGCGCAGCGAGCGCTACTTCTTAGAAGTCGTAGACGAATTTTCATGTTACACCACCGTATTTTCATTGGCGCAAAAGGCCGACATGCGTGATGCACTCCTCCCGTGGCTCGTGGCCACCCGCGCCAAGCGCGCTCGTCCAGTGTTTCTTATATACTCTGCCCGTGGAGGCAAGTTCGCCTCCAATTGGCTCAAGAAATTATGTTGCGCGCATGGCATTTGCGAGACATACTCGCTACCGGATTCGCCGCAGCTGATTGGAATCGCTGAGCATCAAATTGGCTTGGTCATGGAGACTGCGCGTACCTCCATGTGCCATGCTAGTTCTCCCCATCTTCCGTGGCCCTTTGATGAATGATATGCCGCGTACCAGCTTAACATGTGGCCTCGTGTCTCACACCCTCAAGTTGTACCGACCCTCCTCCAACTGGGTCCCTTGATGTTGCGCTTGTGTTTTGCTTCTGGGGCTGCTTCATTCACGCCCGCGATCCTCGCACGGACAAGCTCTCAGCACCTACTCTCCCCTGTGTTTTCCGTGGTTCCCCCCTCGACGGCTATGATCGGTTGTTCTACCACCCTTCCTCTCACCGGTTCTCCATCTCTCGTGACCTTTTCTTTGACGACTCTTTTGATTCTACACTCGCTTCCCTCAACCAGATACCCTTGTTCCCCTCCCTCCCCCCCTCTCCCTAGTTCCTCACTGCCACTACCCCCCTTGGTCCCACTCCTCCAGTAGCTCCCCTTCCCCCGCGTCCTGCCTTGTCTGGTGTGTTGCATGTTACCCCGCAGTCCCCGCCCGTCCCCTGCATCGTCCTTGCAAGTCGTCGCAGTAGACTTCGTCGCCGCTGCTGGGTTTAGTGTCGCAGCGGCCAGTCATTGTGGACTCTGGGGGTGCTGGTTTGGGGGGTGCAGCTACGGTGGGTACTAGCTCTGGGGGTGCTGGTTCTGGGGTGCTGACGCGGGGGTTGCTGGTTCTGGGGGTGCTGCCCCTGGAGCTTTGGCCCTTAGGGGTTCCATGGGCCCGTGACGTTCGGTGAGGCTGGAGCAGCAGCAACAGCTACAACAACTGCTGCAGCACCCGCAGCAGTAGCAATCGCAGCAGCAGCAGCAGCAGCCGTCGCGGCCGCTGAAGCAGCCGCCGCAACAGCTGCAGCAGCAGTAGTCACAGTAGCTGCAGCACCAGCCGCGGCTGCAGCAACAGCCATCGTCGCTTGTGACTGGAGTTGGCCTTCATGGACTTACTTACCCTTCGACCGACAGTCCTCATTCGTCCTCACTACTGCCTCTCGCGGACCCGTCTTCGGCTCGCTCGTTCTCAGTTGTTCCACCTCTCTTTGAACCGTCTCTTGTCTCTTTCCACTTTCCTTGTGGTGCTGCTCGTGCTCGTCCCTCATCTCCTGTTCCTAGCTATCACTCTATGGGACTCCGCTCTCTCCACCCTCGTGTCTCTCCTCCTGATCTCCTGTCACCTCCTCAGTCATCTTTAACTATGTCCCTCCTCCCTTCTCTGATTTCCTCCATGTCATTTGTCATGCAGTCTCCCATGTCCTTTTCTCCCTCGTCATTCACCCTATTGATTGCTCTTTCGCCCTTAGCTTCCTTAGCCACGTGTTATCTTCATCTCGGGTTTGTGTTCTTGCTACCACTGCGCGTGCTCCAGCTCGTAAACCATTGCGCCTCCTCGAGTTGCGCACCATGCTTAAGAAGAAGAGAGAACTCCGCAATGCTCTCCGCTCGCTCCGCCTTACGGCGGACATGGATTCTGCCGAGTCTACAACGGTCAACATCCTCGCTACCGAGCCATACGTTTTCTTCCGTTGTTGTTAAAAGCATCGGTTGTAACTTTAACAATGGAATACCAGTCATTTCTGCTGACCTAGGTTTCTCCAGTTATCAGGCGACAACTCACGGAGTTTGTCAGGCTTTGCCCGGTTTCACCGCTGTTACAGGCTCGCGGCATTCATTGACTTTACTTTTTTTATAAGAACTACTGCTACAACTATTCTATTATCAACAATGTCAATACCAAGGTGGCGACCTCGAGAATGCACCATCATCTGCTTGAGATATTGGAACCTGACAAGGCCTGTACATTATTTAAAGATTCTGTGCTCAGTCATCGGGCATCATACACAGTCTTCGAGTGTGCTCGGCACGCTCTCATGCTGCCTGAAAATCTTCATCATCGCACGATGTCTCACCCTGCTGATGTCCCGGCTCTGCCTAAGGGTCAACGCTCTCGTCTTGCACTTAACTCGCCTGCTTCTACGGGAGTTGATACCTCCACCGGCATTCAAGCTCTTGCAACCAATGACAAGGACAAGACTGCTTCGTCAGCTGCGGGCGAATCTGGGTTATCTGCTGCTGACAAGGCCACTATTCCCTCGGTGGGACTTACCGTTGATGACGGCTTCATCGACGATGACTCTGATGACGAGATGGTCATTGACCTGGTTAAGGAAGCTGGCTCTGGTTTGCGATCGGTCGCCATCTTGTTGATCCCTTTTATGCTGCATAAGGAAATTTCATGTGTGATTGATGTTGTCACGGCACTGATAAAACACGGGTGGTACATAGAGTAATCAGCCGACGCTGCGACAACGACCAAGTTTCAGCAGCTTCATACGGCATATATTGCCAAGACGCGATTCTGTCGCGTGCAAGTTTCATTTGTCAAGGAATCTGATGCGGAATGGGTACGGAAGAAGGAAGTCATCTATCAGCCTCTCAAGAATCAGGCTCAACTCATTACGCTTCATTGGCAACATACCGAGGGCTCATTTTTTGCGCGCGAGAAGGCATTGAATCCGCAAGCTATCGAGTTCATGATCATGGATGTTTCTGCTGCTGTCAAGCTGACCCTGATTCACGACCGTATGGCTACTTACCCGCTCACGAATACTCGGCGATTGGCCTGAATTTGCAAGTGGGGGAGCGTCTTGCATTCCTCAGCGGGAAACCAACCTGTCCTTACTGCGGGGGAGAGGAGATTTTGGACCACTACCTTCTTCTCTGCCCTCGGATCCAGACGATCACTTCGGCCCTTAGGCGCACTTTGCGCATGCTAAATCCCAACCATCCGACAGACACGTTAGGAGACCTACTGTTCCGGAAAACGGGGTCCACCTCAGCATTTCCAGAGCTGGCCCTCGCATCCATCGCATTCCATCAGCTGTGGGTTGAAAGGTGCGAAGCTGTTTTCCGTGGCCAGAAGTTTCGCACGAATCGAGTGCTTCACAAGATTGAGTTCGCATTCAGGCAACATGCACGAATCTACACCCGCATGTTTGGCACGGTTCGCCACAAACGGCATCGGAGAAATTTTACGGAGGAGCAGAACATGTTGGGAAAGATCAAGATGGTTGGCAAGAGTTGGAAGTGGACAAGTGCGTTTGCTGCACTGTGGTCCAGGAAGAGGGCAAGCACTTCCCGCGTTTAGATATCTTATATGGAACCAGGGCTGACGTTTCAAAAAAACCCACTCTGAGGCAGGGGAGAAAAAGATTCGTTTAGTCTGAGGGTCATTTCCCAAGTTCTGAGTACTCTGAAATGTCAGGTTTGAAAAAATCATTAGTCTGAAAAGTTTTAAGTTTGTAAAACCGCATCCGAGTTGGTGAATAGCGAATATCTGTCAAGCGAGTTTGGCCTAGGGAAAACGTTGCGGAGTTGGCGAGAAGCAGGAGTAAGAGGGGGCGGGGGAAGGGGGATGGGGGAGGGGGGCAGGGGGGGAATTGAATGTAATTCGAGAGAGGGGGAGGGGGGAGGACTGAAATTCGGCAATTTCAGGGGCCATACTCCCTGTAGTCTCGAGTCTCAGTATCGCACAATGAAGTACTCTGAAATTTTCAGAGTTGAAAAACTAACAGGTCTGAGGCCTTCAGAGTTCAGAATACAGGAATACTGAAATTTCAGGAAAGGCGAAAAAATGAGTCTGAGATTTCAGACAATCAGACTAAAATAGTCTGATAAAATCAGCCCTGATCGGTACAACCCCCTCATCATAATATTTGCTCATTGCACAAAGGCGAGCTTCCTCTACGAGGTACGGCCCGTACGGGGACGGACCATAGCCATATAGAAGCCGCTAAAGCGTAATGCTGCTACTAATAAGACTTGACTGCTGATGCTGCTGCTGCTGCTGCTGCTGCTGCTGTAGGTGCGTGGCTCTGAAAAATGGTCCACGAGGTGGATGGGTGTGGGTATGCTGCTATTGCTTGTGCTGCTTGGCTAGGGGAGTTCTCCATGAGGTGGATGTGTGTGGGTAAGGTCCCCTGCTGCTGCTGCTGCTGCTGCTGCTGCTGCTGCTGCTGCTGCAGCTGCTGCTTGTGCATGGATACAACGACTTGACCATGAGGTGGATGGGTGTGCGCAATGCTCTATGTGTGAGTGCGGTTTGGTGCTACCATGGCTGCTCTGCTACCATGGCGGGAGGGCTACGAGGACTTGTCCATGAGGTGGATGGGCTACGAGGACTTGTCCATGAGGTGGATGGGCTACGAGGACTTGTCCATGAGGTGGATGGGCTACGGGGACTTGTCCATGAGGTGGATGGGCTACGAGGACTTGTCCATGAGGTGGATGGGCTACGAGGACTTGTCCATGAGGTGGATGGGCTACGAGGACTTGTCCATGAGGTGGATGGGCTACGAGGACTTGTCCATGAGGTGGATGGGCTACGAGGACTTGTCCATGAGGTGGATGGGCTACGAGGACTTGTCCATGAGGTGGATGGGCTACGAGGACTTGTCCATGAGGTGGATGGGCTACGAGGACTTGTCCATGAGGTGGATGGGCTACGAGGACTTGTCCATGAGGTGGATGGGCTACGAGGACTTGTCCATGAGGTGGATGGGCTACGAGGACTTGTCCATGAGGTGGATGGGAGCGAGCACATTGAGCTTGTTGGTGTCCATGACGCAGCCGTTCATGACCATCTCGTCCAGCATGAAGTACGCCTTCTCCAGGTGGAACATGATGTCCAGCTCGCACTGCCATGGGAGGGAAGGGGGGGAGACAGGTGGAACATGATGTCCAGCTCGCACTGTTCATGGGGAGAGGGGGAGGGGGAGAGACAGGTGGAACATGATGTCCAGCTCGCACTGTTCATGGGGAGAGGGGGAGGGGGAGAGACAGGTGGAACATGATGTCCAGCTCGCACTGTTCATGGGGAGAGGGGGAGGGGGAGAGACAGGTGGAACATGATGTCGAGCTCGCACTGTTGAGGGGAGAGGGGGAGGGGGAGAGACAGGTGGAACATGATGTCCAGCTCGCACTGTTGAGGGGAGAGGGGGAGGGGGAGAGACAGGTGGAACATGATGTCCAGCTCGCACTGTTGAGGGGAGAGGGGGAGGGGGAGAGACAGGTGGAACATGATGTCCAGCTCGCACCCTTGAAGGGGAGAGGGGGAGGGGGAGAGACAGGTGGAACATGATGTCCAGCTCGCACTGTTGAGGGGAGAGGGGGAGGGGGAGAGACAGGTGGAACATGATGTCCAGCTCGCACTGTTGAAGGGGAGAGGGGGAGGGGGAGAGACAGGTGGAACATGATGTCCAGCTCGCACTGTTGAAGGGGAGAGGGGGAGGGGGAGAGACAGGTGGAACATGATGTCCAGCTCGCACTGTTGAGGGGCAGGGATGGTCAGAGGGAACATGATGATAGCTCGCACTGTGTGATAGGTAGGGGATGAAGGGGCGGATGGTGACAGGGAACATGATGATAGCTATAGCAGAGCAGCATAGGTTGGGCATGAGGACAGGAACACGCGTATCTGGACATGGGCGCGAGGGGAAGACAGAATGAGCGCGTGGGGAAGACAGAATGAGCGCGTGGGGAAGACAGAATGAGCGCGTGGGGAAGACAGAATGAGCGCGTGGGGAAGACAGAATGAGCGCGTGGGGAAGACAGAATGAGCGCGTGGGGAAGACAGAATGAGCGCGTGGGGAAGACAGAATGAGCGCGTGGGGAAGACAGAATGAGCGCGTGGGGAAGACAGAATGAGCGCGTGGGGAAGACAGAATGAGCGCGTGGGGAAGACAGAATGAGCGCGTGGGGAAGACAGAATGAGCGCGTGGGGAAGACAGAATGAGCGCGTGGGGAAGACAGAATGAGCGCGTGGGGAAGACAGAATGAGCGCGTGGGGAAGACAGAATGAGCGCGTGGGGAAGACAGAATGAGCGCGTGGGGAAGACAGAATGAGCGCGTGGGGAAGACAGAATGAGCGCGTGGGGAAGACAGAATGAGCGCGTGGGGAAGACAGAATGAGCGCGTGGGGAAGACAGAATGAGCGCGTGGGGAAGACAGAATGAGCGCGTGGGGAAGACAGAATGAGCGCGTGGGGAAGACAGAATGAGCGCGTGGGGAAGACAGAATGAGCGCGTGGGGAAGACAGAATGAGCGCGTGGGGAAGACAGAATGAGCGCGTGGGGAAGACAGAATGAGCGCGTGGGGAAGACAGAATGAGCGCGTGGGGAAGACAGAATGAGCGCGTGGGGAAGACAGAATGAGCGCGTGGGGAAGACAGAATGAGCGCGTGGGGAAGACAGAATGAGCGCGTGGGGAAGACAGAATGAGCGCGTGGGGAAGACAGAATGAGCGCGTGGGGAAGACAGAATGAGCGCGTGGGGAAGACAGAATGAGCGCGTGGGGAAGACAGAATGAGCGCGTGGGGAAGACAGAATGAGCGCGTGGGGAAGACAGAATGAGCGCGTGGGGAAGACAGAATGAGCGCGTGGGGAAGACAGAATGAGCGCGTGGGGAAGACAGAATGAGCGCGTGGGGAAGACAGAATGAGCGCGTGGGGAAGACAGAATGAGCGCGTGGGGAAGACAGAATGAGCGCGTGGGGAAGACAGAATGAGCGCGTGGGGAAGACAGAATGAGCGCGTGGGGAAGACAGAATGAGCGCGTGGGGAAGACAGAATGAGCGCGTGGGGAAGACAGAATGAGCGCGTGGGGAAGACAGAATGAGCGCGTGGGGAAGACAGAATGAGCGCGTGGGGAAGACAGAATGAGCGCGTGGGGAAGACAGAATGAGCGCGTGGGGAAGACAGAATGAGCGCGTGGGGAAGACAGAATGAGCGCGTGGGGAAGACAGAATGAGCGCGTGGGGAAGACAGAATGAGCGCGTGGGGAAGACAGAATGAGCGCGTGGGGAAGACAGAATGAGCGCGTGGGGAAGACAGAATGAGCGCGTGGGGAAGACAGAATGAGCGCGTGGGGAAGACAGAATGAGCGCGTGGGGAAGACAGAATGAGCGCGTGGGGAAGACAGAATGAGCGCGTGGGGAAGACAGAATGAGCGCGTGGGGCAGACAGACATGGGCATGTGGGGCACAAGACATGGACTCGACACAACGACATTGAACTTGTGACGGTTTTGAGCCACCTCAAACGACAGACATGAAGTCACATCCGGCGATGGTGAAGGGATAACGTGAAACATGCTACCACTTGCACTGCCAATACGGGTGAGGCGGGGAAGAGCAGACGAGAGGAGGCCACGGGAAGAGCAGACGAGAGGAGGCCACGGGAAGAGCAGAAGCGAAAGAGGAAGCAAGGGAGAGACAGATGCCTTTCAACAAGGAGGGGGTGCAAGGGGGTGAGCATGCAGTGCAGTGTGACTGACCACGTTGCCAAAGTATCGGTCCATGGTCTCGACGATGCAGTGGATGAACTCCAGTATCGCCAGCTCGTTCTGCCCGCACCATGGTTGCATGGCGGCATGGGCGACGGGGGGACGAAGGGCAAGGGAGGAGAGGGAAAAGGGGAGTGGGGACGGGCAGGGGGGGGGAGGGAGCGAGAAGGGGGAGAAGAATTGAGAGGTTGCAAGGCAGAGGTGGACGTGGAGGGTTAGAGGGGGAGGTTGAGATTGGAGAGGCAAAAAAAGGGATTGCAGTAACAGCAGTATGATGATTTGGAATCGAACAGGGGGACATAAACCGGTGAAGATGGGGATGGAGGCAGTCTTACCTCTTCGCCATCCACGCCCACGAGAAAGAAGAGCGATGCATAGCGCCGGTAAATCACCTTGTAGTTGCGGTGCTCCACAAACGAGCACTGCACAAACGAGCATAAACTCAACATATTAGCAGACAGAATGGTTATCCCGTTGAAGCCCGGGTTTCATGAGACCCGGGTTTTGACATCTCCCCTTCCTCCACCTCCGCATCCTCCTCTGGAACTTCCCCAGGCCTAACCTGCCGGAGTCTACTACCTCCTCGCCCTTCGAAAAGTTCGTCTTTCCACCCTATGAGCTACTCCCCTCTCATCACCCACCTCCCGGTCGCACCTAGGTTATGCCTTTGGCAACGCCTGCCGCGTCAAGACTCGAATGGCATCCACCATATACCGCGTCGATGCTACTCCCCCCGCATCCCCCACCTCCCCAGCATCCAACCTCCCCGGGGAACCACCTGCTGCTCGGATCGCGCGAGGCACTTGCGCACAATCTCTCCCTCCAACGCGCGCCGCTCCTCGAGGCGCATGTACTCGTAATACTGCGCGACGCGGGTCTGGCCCTGCTTGTTGACCAATAGTATGAAGCGGATCGTCATGGTACGACCCTATTCACTGAAAAAAAAATCGTGCTTCAGAAAGATACCCTCGCTACCCTCTGCTATCATGAGAGTTGCGAGCGGGTTTTTTGAGCTATTTCCATGAGTAGGGCGTGGCACATCTACTGACTGTCCGGTGCGAACGGTTCGGAAATTTGAAGGGTAGCATTTTTCGTTAGTCTTCGCGAAAGAGTGGAACGTTTGAATTGCGGTGGCGGTACGAACGGTCGGGTTTTCCAGTTTGGAACTCAGATGAACAGTGACCGCGCGATTGCTCTATGCGAATTGGTTCAGATTATTAGAACTATCTGTAAGCAATTCCAAGCCCATTAGGTGGGAAACGAAACGAGTCATCGAATGACGTGCGAAAATGAACAACGAACCAGCATTCACCGAACCAGGCCCTCGATGGCGACATTCAGTCACAAGGTCACAGGAACAGCAGTGACAACAGCCATACACAGCCGCTATCGTGTGGTGGACCTCAAAGCCAGCGCCTTCGGCGATTGCCAACCCTAAGCATTCACTGAAATTGATGCCAAAGTGAACCATTCCTTCAACCCCGACTGGATTTCACAGTTCCACTTTTTCCGATGGTGGCACTCGATCTCACTCATTCCGCAAACTCCGCCGGACCTCTCATCAGTGCTGCTGCTGGCAGCACACACGCGATTTCTTACACGACGCGTCGCGCCGTTGGTCGGCGTTCACCCCGCCTTCACGTACCTTCGAATTTCCCGGGAACTTCTGTTTCATTGCAGATTCGCGAAGGTTCCAGGAAGTTTGATCGTATGGCGGGCCGCCTTGCTTCGTTTAGACCCTTTGGATTGGTGTGCGCGAGAATCGCGTCGCGGGCGTCATCCCCGTTATTGAATTGCTCGTTTGCCACCCTGAAACCATCGGCGCATGCGTCGTCACAGTCGTGGGACGAGCTGAGCCAACCCGTGAGTGAAGCGCGCCGAGCAGCCACCACCCACCTTATCGTCTTCCGGGAATGGGATGCCTCCACCCTCCAGATTCCACATCCCTTTGTTCTTCTCCTTTCCACTCCTCTCCTACTCTTCCTCCTCTCCTCTCCTTCCCCGCTTCTTCCCCTTTGCCTGTCACCATCGAGTCTCTCCCCCACTCCTCCCCCCTCTTTCTCTTCCTTCTTTCCCCTGTCGCAACCCCCTCCGACAGACAGGCGAGTGGCAGAGCACGCTGGGAGCGCCAGTAGCGGTGTCAGGCGTGGGGCTGCATCTGGGCCTTCCCACCACCGTTACGCTGCTGCCCGCCCCTGCTGCCTCGGGTCGGGTCTTCCACGTGGTGCTTGGGGGGGATGGCGGAGGGGGAGAGGTGGACAGGGTTGCAGCAGGAGCTGGGAGGGAAGGGAGAGTGGTGGAGATCGGTGCAGATGTGTGGAGTGTGGTGGACACGCGGCTCTGCACTGTGCTGGCTGCTGCTTCGGCTACCCCGTCCAGTCCGCCCTCCTCCCCTGACGAGTCGCCAGCGGGTGGGGAACGTGAACAGAGTGAAGTGCGGTTGGGAACGGTGGAACATCTTCTGTCGGCTCTAGAGGGGTGTGGCGTGGACAACTGTGTGATTCGCGTGGAGGGCGCTGGCGAGGTGAGGTGAGGTGAGGTGATGTGAGATGAGGTGAGGTGAGGTGAGGTGAGGTGAGGTGAGGTGAGGTGAGGTGAGGTGAGGTGAGCTGAGGCCAGAGCAGGGAGACACGTTGCCGGGTTATAAACGTGGGCTGGTGAGACACGTAAGCAGATGAGACACGTAAGCAGATGAGACACGTAAGCAGGGTAAGAGGCACAAGAGCGGGTAAGAGCGCGGCACCTGCAGGGCGCACTTGTGGCATTCTGAGACGAGCTCTCAAACCCCACCCTCTCAAACCCCACCCTCTCAAACCCCACCCTCTCAAACCTCACCCTCTCAAACCCCACCCTCTCAAACCCCACCCTCTCAAACCCCACCCTCTCAAACCCCACCCGCCCCTGCCCTCAGATGCCACTTCTGGACGGATCAGCAGCGGAGTGGGTAGAACACATCATGGCGGCCGGCATCCACCCCGCCACCCTGCACCGCTCCAACGGCACCACAGGCCATGCTGCTACCGGCGATGCTGGTGCTGCTGCTAATGATGCTGTGACTGTGGAGAGGAGAAGGTGGAATTTGCCTGGAAACCAGCCAATCACGGTGCAGCATGGGGATTCGTTCATTGCTGCATTCCCCCGAGCTTCACCGCTTCTCACCTATGGCATTGATTTTGCACATGTGAGGTGTTGACTTGTCACATGTGAGGCGTTGACTTGTCACATGTGAGGCGTTGACTTGCCACATGTGAGGCGTTGACTTGTCACATGTGAGGCGTTGACTTGTCACATGTGAGGCGTTGACTTGTCACATGTGAGGCGTTGACTTGTCACATGTGAGGCGTTGACTTGCCACACCACAGCAGTCACACATGCTGGAGTTTTCATCCCCATTCTGATACGTTTTTTTGGCTTGGTTGTTTTGTTTCGCTGCACAAGCGTCCCCAATGTTCCTACTCCGTTCCCCGGGCTGTGTATCTATCTCTAAAGGGAGGGCAATCCGTGCCTCTTAGACTAATCCCCTCGCTTGCACAACCTTAGTTGCAATTACCATCCGCTCTCACTCGTTGGTGTAGCTTGAGGTTTTTGCAAGTGTCCCCATTGACTCGAATCTGCTGACCTATTCATCAAGATTTTGCAACTTCTGTGGCATAGACATTCAATCCATTGAAGCGTTGACCCCATTGTCCCCGTTGACTCACTCAACTCCATGCACGCTCACAGGTGCCGGCCATCGGGCGGCAGTGGGTGTCGTGGGAGCCGTGCCGCTCACAGCAACCAGCACAAGCGCGAGCAGCAGAGCGACGCCAGGGCGGAGGAGAGGAACCAGGTGGAGCAGCAGAGCAGCCAGTGGGGGCAGCAGCGCAGGGCGAGCATGGCGAGCATGGCGAGCATGGAGAGCAGGGTCAGGAGTGTGGCGACTATGTGTCGGGCATTGCGCCGGCGCGCACCTTCTGCATTCTCGAACAGGTACAGAGAGCAACTTTGAAGAGCTTGCTCTCGAGACTGCTGGGCTCATCAGGAACATCACCAGTGTATACCAACGAGAGTAAGGGAAACTCGTTCGTTGGGGCGTTTGGTTATTATTAACGCGGTAGTGATGTTCATAGCAATTTGGAATCATGTCAGCATGTTCATGATTTATGTCTCACGCACGTTATGGTTACTTTAGCACGTTGATATATAAAGGCAACGGTGGCACATGAGAGCATCCTCGAAAGGGTTAGCTCATCAACGGAACGGAAGCTTACTGAATTTCTGCAGTCTTTTCTGCCCCTGAATCTTCCTACATCCCTCACCCTGTCTCTGTTGCGCCACTCACTTCTCACCAACTGGTGGAGCACATGAGAGGAGAGGAGAAGGGTTCACGAGGGATGCCTCACTCAACCATGCTCTCTCCTCCCTCCACTCCCTTTCACTCCTGCTGCTCGCCTCCCTACCGCCTTTTTGCCGCATCTCGCCGCAGGTGGAGCAGATGCGAGCAGCGGGGCTCATCAGGGGTGGCTCGCTCGACAATGCCCTCGTGTGCAGGTGAGCCTCGACAATGCCCTCGTGTGCAGGTGAGCCTCGACAATGCCCTCGTGTGCAGGTGAGCCTCGACAATGCCCTCGTGTGCAGGTGAGCCTCGACAATGCCCTCGTGTGCAGGTGAGCCTCGACAATGCCCTCGTGTGCAGGTGAGCCTCGACAATGCCCTCGTGTGCAGGTGAGCCTCGACAATGCCCTCGTGTGCAGGTGAGCCTCGACAATGCCCTCGTGTGCAGGTGAGCCTCGACAATGCCCTCGTGTGCAGGTGAGCCTCGACAATGCCCTCGTGTGCAGGTGAGCCTCGACAATGCCCTCGTGTGCAGGTGAGCCTCGACAATGCCCTCGTGTGCAGGTGAGCCTCGACAATGCCCTCGTGTGCAGGTGAGCCTCGACAATACCCTCGTGTGCAGGTGAGCCTCGACAATGCCCTCGTGTGCAGGTGAGCCTCGACAATGCCCTCGTGTGCAGGTGAGCCTCGACAATGCCCTCGTGTGCAGGTGAGCCTCGACAATGCCCTCGTGTGCAGGTGAGCGTGGGGGAGGTATCACTGCTACGCAGGTGCCATCCAGGGAGGAAGGAGGCGTAGGTGAGCCTGGGGGCGGTGCCATGCAGGTGAGCCTGGGGGCGGTGCCATGCAGGTGAGCCTGGGGGCGGTGCCATGCAGGTGAGCCTGGGGGCGGTGCCATGCAGGTGAGCCTGGGGGCGGTGCCATGCAGGTGAGCCTGGGGGCGGTGCCATGCAGGTGAGCCTGGGGGCGGTGCCATGCAGGTGAGCCTGGGGGCGGTGCCATGCAGGTGAGCCTGGGGGCGGTGCCATGCAGGTGAGCCTGGGGGCGGTGCCATGCAGGTGAGCCTGGGGGCGGTGCCATGCAGGTGACCATATGTACGGCTGCGTAGTTGGAAGTTGGACGAGGCTTGAGGTCTGCGAGTGAATGGGAGGAGGAGGAAGGGCAGAGCATGGCAGCATGCACTAGGATCTAGGTAAGGCAGTGCTGTCCGGCCGTGCCATCTTCCATGCACCTGCCTTCTCACCTGTTGTCATCAAAGCGTGGCCATTTTCCCATCATTTCCTGTTCCTTTCGTGCACCCTCCTTACTGCCCGTCCCTTGTGGCTCAATCACTCCCCTCTCAATCCTTGTGGCGAGTGCCTCTTTCTGCCCTCAATCCCTCCCTTTCCCACTCCGGCTCTCCCTTGCCCTCTTCCTTTGCCCTCTTCCTTTACCCTTTCCCCTTGCCCCTCTGCCTCTCTCCTCCTGTTTCTCTCGTCCCTCGCCTTCCCCTGGTCCCCACTGCAGCCAAGCGCGAGGGTGGGTGAACCCACCTTTGAGACTCCCTCTGGAGCCGTGCCGCCACAAGCTGCTGGATCTCATAGGGGACCTGGCGCTGTGTGCCAGGGGGGGCAACGCCGGCATTCCCAACGCGCACATAGTGGCCTATAAAGTGAGTGCAGAGCCTTGGCACCAATGCACGTGCCTGTTGATGTTTGTCTCTGTGCCCTTCAGGGCCCCACTTTCTAAACTCGCCCCCACAACCCTCTCTCTCCCTCGTCTCCTCCGCCGTTCCCGTCTCCCCCGTCCATGAGCAGGCGAGCCATGCTCTGCACGTGGCGTTTGGTAAGGCACTTATGGGCGCACTTGAGGCAGAGGCCAAGGGGCGTGGCGGGGCTGGGTAGCGAGTGATACAGCAAGGAGTTAACAGTTTCTTCTTGATGGTCGCCATGCTGCAGTCGCAAATGGATCCAACAACGTGCAATAAGCTTTATGGGAGCAACCCCAGGAAGGCTACCGTAAAACCAAGCCTATGCTAATAAAGAGGACGCCGCTGGCACAAATAAACCTTGGTACGCTGGCTGATTCGGAAAGCTCTGATGAGCCCAAAGTTAAGCACACTATGTAGCAAAATTGGAGAAGTGAATTTGCAGTGCTTTGCAATGCTGCGCTGCATCCTCTATTGGTACAGAACAGATGGTTTAGCTGCCATGTTTCTGGGTGCTGGACCCTACATCCTACACCGTACACCCTACATTCTACACCGTACACCCTACATCCTACACCGTACACCCTACATCCTACACCGTACGCCCTACATCCTACACCGTACACCAGGGTCCTCGCTAGGATTTGAACCCCCCTGATGCATCAGACGGGCCCTTCGGGCCCGTCTGATGCATCAGATATTTTGCCTTTGCGTGTCTGATGCATCAGAATTTTCAAAAGAACTTGTCTGACCAATTAAATAGAGTTTCTAGCGTGTAGATGCACGTGGGATAACAAGTTGTCTGACTTTTCTCGTCCTGTCACATTCATTCGAAGTACACACTGGTGTGATTCGGACTTCACTGGTCTCTGCAAAATCGCCCTAACACGGCAGATTCGCCCTGTCAGAGCACAAATTATTCGCCCAATCAGAGCAAATTCGCTCTGACACGGCAGATTCGCAACGTCAGAGCGCAACATGTTCGTCCAATCATAGAAAACTCTTCTTGACACAAGAGATTCGACCTTACACAACACAGCAGATTCGCCTTGACAACAGATTCGCCCTGTCAGAGCATGTTCTGCGGGAAATCCCCGTACTCTTAACATGTTTCGATTTCAGACGAAACATATATTACACTTCTGATGAATCAGATGAAGACAAGAAATCATTTCTACTCAATCAGATGAAAAAATCAATTATTCCTTGAAAATCAGATTAGCTCGAAAAAAATCGTCTGGAAACTAAGACAAACAGTCAAAAATGTCTGATGTCGAGGACATGTACGGCGTACACCCTACACCGTACACCCTACACCCTGCACCACACCCTACACCATACACCGTACACCGTACACCCTACACCCTACACCATACACCTTTCACAATAGACCGAGATAGCAGGTCTGAGATGCACAGTATGTACAGTTGCTCTGGTTTCAAGCGTGCTGTACACAACTTGGCACATGTAAATGGCAACACAACACACATGGCTACAGCAACAATGGGCACTCCCAGCTAAACAAGCACATCAAGGGCAGTGGTAACTCCTCAAGCGAACGACAACTCGCATCCATGCGTCACATCCATGCGTCACATCCATCCATCACCAGCTTAACATGTGCAAGCAGCCTGCTGTACCTTGCAGGGTGCATGCTCGAGCCTCCTACCCCACACGCCTTGTCTGCAGCGCCCCCTCGCCCTTGACCAACATCGGTCCACCCCCTGCACACCATCTTGCTTCACATGCTTACGTGCCCTCCATCGCTTCCTTCTTCATCCCATCGTCCACAGAAACTCCCACTTCTCCCTTCACCACCACTCCCCCCTGCCCCTCTTCCCTCTTCACCACCACTCCCCCCTGCCCCTCTTCCCTCTTCACCACCACTCCCCCTTGCTCCTCTTCTCTCTTCACCACCACTCCCCCTGCCCCTCTTCTCTCTTCACCACCACTCCCCCTTGCCCCTCTTCTCTCTTCACCACCACTCCCCCTGCCCCTCTTCTCTCTTCACCACCACTCCCCCTTGCCCCTCTTCCCTCTTCACCACCACTCCCCCTGCCCCTCTTCCCTCTTCACCACCACTCCCCCTGCCCCTCTTCCCTCTTCGCCAGCCGCCCCCTCCGCGAGTGCGCGCGCCAGCCGCCCCCTCCGCGAGTGCGCGCGCCAGCCGCCCCCTCCGCGAGTGCGCGCGCCAGCCGCCCCCTCCGCGAGTGCGCGCGCCAGCCGCCCCCTCCGCGAGTGCGCGCGCCAGCTATGCTGAGAGTACGACGGCTTATGCCAGCTATGCTTGCTTGCCTTTACTTTATCATGCTATTTCTAGCATAGGATAATCATATGCATGCATGAATTGCTTGATTTCCTAGGCTAGGTGCTTTCCTATATTTTATTATAGTTATAGCACCGAGCTAGGTTACGTGCACCGAATTCTAGCCTTTTCGGTTGTCACCGAATTGCCTTCTACCGAATTCGGTAAGGATCTGTTCGGGACACTACGCGACCCGCGGAATCTTCGCGTAACACCTGGTTACGGGGCCTTGTGTCGAGCCTATATATAGCCTCGTGTTGTACCCAGGTGATCATTCAATTCGACTCAATTCTCATTCTCTTTTCTGAGCTCGATCCTAGATCCTCACACTTGGTAATCAGAGCTCGTTTACACGCGAAGCTCTTTCGACCGCTAAAAACCAGTCTTCAAAAACCGCGGGGGCGACGCAGTCAAACATCGATTTCGGGTACGTAAAACCGGTTCCGTGTTTTTCGCTCCCCCTCGATTCGGTTTTTCGGACGCGTTGATGTCAGGCATGGAGGGCCAAGGCGACAACTACGCGACTACGAGCGACATCGCGAGCCTCCGCACCGACATGGAGCAGACGCAGGCGACGCTTCGTCGACTCGAGGCTTTTCTGACAAGCCAACCAGGGTTCGCCACCGCAGCAGCAGCGACTGCAGCGACTGCAGCACCGACAACTCCAGCAGCAGTGGCGACACCGACATTTCACGGACCGATGGCACCACTGTCGCCGAGCCTCGAAGCAGCACGACCGAGGCTCCCGGAGGCGTTCGATCCAAGCGCGAAGGGATCCGACGTCCGGCGATTCGTGGCCACCCTCGAAATTTACTTCGAGGCCATTGGCTGTTCGACCCCGCAACACGACGCAGTAAGGATTCGGCTCGCAGCGACACTGTTACGTGGACCGGTGTGAAGATAAGCAGTAGAAGAAGGCGCCATAGCTAGGAAAGCCCTAGCTAGGCAAGAAACAGTTTAGGCAAAGAGAGGGTTCACTAGCAGGAATGAGGATACAAATAGCAAACCCTAGAAGGGTTGTACTCGCTATAGAGCACCCCACTACAGGCTAGAGCATAACATTCTGACACACCCCCATAGCCAAAGTGGGGTGTAATCAGCAGAGCAAGCAAAGCAGAACAAGCTCAGGGTGGATCACAATGTCACCACACATTCTGAGCACAAGTACAAGAAGCAATAGTTTAAAGTTCACAATTATGAGCAAAGCTAGAGGCTATCGCAGAGGGCAAGTGAGGAGGAGGAGGCGAGACTGTAAGAGGAGAGGAGATAGGAGGCGACGACTGAAGCTGCAGACACACGGGCAACAGGAGGCACACTGGCACAGCGGCTACCGGAACAGTGCTCCGGACTACTGGAGTAACTGGCCCCGCGGCTAAAAGTAGCAGCAGACGAGCAACGGACCCACGGGCGACTGGCACAGGTGGCTGCGACTGGGCTACCGGAGCAACTCCCCGGACTACAGGTGCTGCTGGCGACACGACGGCAACCTTCGTTCAACCTCCCCAAACAGTCCCACCCCCCCTGACACACACCCCCTGCTTCACCCCTAGCTCCACTCCCCCTTCACCCCCCTTAGTACCACTCCGACGGCTCCAACAGGTCCACCCCCCTCAGCGGCAGCTGCAGCACTGGAGGAGGAGGAGGAGCAGGGGACGGCACACAGAAGCTGCACCCCCATGCCCCCCACCCCCAAACCCTAATTCAGGAGAACGGGCAGTAGCAGGGGTGGGGCGCCATCAGAAGCACGGGGGACAGCGGGCAGCGCAGGGGCAGCGAAGAACGGGCCGCCCACGGGCCTGGCACAGCCGCCCGAACCGCGCGCAGGCGGCCCGAGCCGCGCGCGGGCCTGGCGCAGCCCGTACGGGCCGCGCGCGGGCCTGGCGCAGCCCGTACTGGCCGCGCGCGGGCCTGGCGCAGCCCGTACGGGCCGCGCGCAGGCTGTACGGGCCGCGCACAGGCCACGACGGGTGACGGGGGGCGACGCGCGGGTCCCCGTCGCCCGTCGCAGCGCCTCCCGGGAGCGACGCGCTGCGTGACGGGGCAGAAACCCGCCGCGCGCCTCGGGGCGCACGGCGGGCAGAGAACCGCCGCGCGCCTCGGGGCGCACGGCGGGCAGAAAACCGCCGCGCGCCTCGGGGCGCACGGCGGGCAGAAAACCGCCGCACGCTCCGAGCGCGTGGCGGGATGAAAAATCCGTTGCACGCCACTGGGCGTGCAACACAGAGAGTAGCAGTAGCAGCGGAAGCAGTGAGGTGGGGCCCACAGGCCAGGAGCATATCGCTCTAATACCATGTGAAGATAAGCAGTAGAAGAAGGCGCCATAGCTAGGAAAGCCCTAGCTAGGCAAGAAACAGTTTAGGCAAAGAGAGGGTTCACTAGCAGGAATGAGGATACAAATAGCAAACCCTAGAAGGGTTGTACTCGCTATAGAGCACCCCACTACAGGCTAGAGCATAACATTCTGACAACCGGCTCTCGAATGGATTTACTACACCGACGTAGCCCGCGGTGAGAAAACGTGGCAGCAGTTTCGGGCAGATTTAATCGAGCGTTTCGAACCAATCAATACAATCTACATGGCGCGGCAGCAGATACACCGACACAAGCAATACAGTAGTGTAACACAGTACACGCAGCAGATGGAGTTACTGTTCAACCGCATCACCGACCTGACCGAAGGCGAAAAAATCCAGGCGTATACCGAAGGGTTAAAAATGGAGATTCGGCGGCAGGTGATTGCGGCGAATTACAACAGTTACAGAGACATCGTGCGTGCTGCCGAGCGATACGACGCGCTGACTCGAGGTCAACCCGAAACACGACGCTTCACGCCGAACCGTACATTCGGCACGGAGCGATCGGCACCCCCCACGTTCGCCGAACCGATGGATATCGACAAATACGACGCGAAGCAGCAGCCGACAAAATGCGAATTTTGCGGCGCAGCAGGACATCAGTTTTTGTCGTGCTACAAAATGAAGAAAGCACGTGCGGCATTCCGGGACGGAAACAGTGGAGCACCCCCGAAGTAAAAAAACGGGAATCGCCAGTAGCCGCGGATCGACCTGGCGATCGCGTAAAGATCCGAAAAGCAGGAAAAGGCGACGACGTGGCGACTTCGGAGCGGGTGAAAAAAGGAGAAAATGATGGCGCGAATCTAAAACGTCACGACCGGCCGGCATCAGGGGAAATCGCCGAGGCGAATGGAGGCTCCGCGAAAAAAGACTCTGCACCGACCGGGAAACTCCAGCCGAACACCCACGAAAGTAAGAATTCGTTAAAAGTATCCTATAAAGATGCTCTAACGAAGAATATTGCTTCTCGTGGTTTTCAAGCCTTCAAAAAATTCAGGGGAGGTTTAGAGGCCAAGAAAAAGCCTTTAGAAATTATTCAGGTACCTGAGAAGTTGGGCAAAGTACTACGGAGCGTAGAAAAGGGTCGTGCGTTCCGTGGCGTTAATATTCTCTCTCCCGCAGCACAGTGTTAAGGCTCCCCGTTGCCCACAGGTGAAGCCTACACAGCTGCCAAGGCTTAGAGGAGACATCCAGGCTAAGGAGAAATTATACAAGCCTCGGAAAAATCCTCCTACCCCCCAGGTGAAGTTGGAAAGCGCTGAGTCAGGTATAGGAAAAAGGGAAGGTATTAAGTTTGATGTACCCTATGATCCTATTAACGAGACCCTCTTTGGCTACCCAGCACAGCAGAAACCACTACTCCTCGAGGTGTTATGCAATGGGCGACGCCTCCAGGCACTGGTGGACAGCGGTGCATCTCACTCGGTGTGTGACCGCGGAGCATTGGAGAAGCGGACATCTCACTCACCAACATCAAAGGATTAGATTTTATCTTGGGGCGAGATTTCCTGAAGCGGTTCAACCCCGAGATCGATTGGGTCAACAGCAAGGTGTGCATCTATAACAACGGGAAGTGGATAGCACTGCGAAGCTGGACGGATACAGGGGACGTACCTGAAACGACACTGGCACGGTTCGAACAGACGGTGAACGAGAGTAACACGGGTTACCTAGCACTGGTTATGGCAGCAGCAGAGGAGGAGAAGCCGAGTTCCGAGCTACCTGCAGTAGTAAAGGAGGTCTTGGAGCAATACGAGGATATAATGCCCGACGACCTACCTGCAGGCGTACCTCCAGCACGCACCCACGAGCACGAGATCGTGGAGGAACCAGGTGCGAAACCCGTCTCACGTGCACCATACCGACTGAGTCCGACTGAACTGACAGACATGAAAAAACAGATAGAGTATCTACTGGACAGACAACTGATCCGCCCATCCACCTCTCCCTACGGTGCACCAGTTCTCTTCACTCCAAAATCAGACGGCAGTCTACGGATGTGCATCGACTACCGCGCACTGAACAAACAGACAGTCAAAAACAAATATCCCATACCGCGCATAGACGACCTACTCGATCAACTGCGTGGAGCAACAGTCTTCTCGAAGCTGGACCTACGGTCGGGTTACTGGCAGATCAAGATGGCGGACAACTCGATCCACAAGACGGCGTTCCGTACCAGATACGGCTCCTACGAATACTTGGTGATGCCGTTCGGACTCTGCAACGCACCCGCAACGTTTCAGGCGGAGATGAATCACATCCTACGACCCCTGCTGGACGAATGCGTGGTGGTGTACCTGGACGACATTCTCATCTACTCCAAGAACATGAAGGAGCACGTGGAGCATCTACAGAAGGTGTACGAGATCCTGCGGAAAAACAAGTTCTACGTGAAGCTGTCGAAGAGCGACTTCGCCCTGAAGAAGGTGCAGTTTCTCGGGCACATGGTGAGTGCCGAGGGCGTACACGTGGACCCGCGGAAAATCGAAGCCGTCAAAAAGTGGAAAGTACCGGAGAACGTGAAGGAGTTGCAGCAGTTCCTAGGCTTCGCCAACTACTACAACAGGTTCGTGCCGCAGTACGCTAAGATAGCAGCGCCATTGACCGACCTACTGAAAAAGGATACGCCCTACAAATGGGATACCCCTCACCAGCAAGCCATGGAGCAGCTACAGACAGCACTGACTACAGCGCCAGTACTCATCTTGCCGGATCCAGACAAGGACTACGTGGTGGAAGCAGACGCTAGTGACCAAGCGTTCGGAGCAGTACTAATGCAGGATCACGAACGTGGTTTGCAGCCCATCGCCTACCTCAGTAAGAAGCTACACGGAGCAGAACTAAACTACCCCATTCACGACAAGGAAGCCTTAGCGATAGTCATAGCCTTCAAGGCGTGGAGGGGTTACCTAGAGGGAGCCAAGACTACAGTCTATACTGACCACTGCAGTCTCAAATACCTGAAGTCGCAGCCGACGCTCTCACGACGACAGGTGCGGTGGGTGGACTTCCTGGAAACTCACTTCCACTACGACATCGTCTACAAGCCCGGGCTACACAACAAAGCAGACGCATTGAGCCGCCCCGGACACGTAGCAGGCATCCAGCTCGACGGGATGAACCCTCTACTCAAGGGTCTATTCCAACATGGGTACTCCGTGGACGCAAAAATCGCTACAGCACAGACCAAGAAGTTGTTACAGTGGGAGAAAGACTTAGCTGTAAGGAAGGGTTCAGGAAAGATTTGGGTACCGAATTACGCCCCGCTACGGCAGATCCTATTGGAGGAGTTTCACGACGTACCTTACGCGGGACATTTCGGGAGCAACAAGACGTTAGCAGGGATAGCGAAGTATTACTACTGGCCCGGGATGGCAGCAGACGTGCAGCAGTTCGTCACCTCTTGCGACACGTGCCAGCGGATGAAGAGTAGCAAGCAGAAAAAAACAGGGTTACTTCAGCCTCTACCCGTACCGGAGCAGCCATGGCAGGTCGTTAGCCTCGACTTCATCACAGGACTTCCTTCGACCTCACGGGGACACGATTCCATCCTCGTAGTAATCGATAAGTTCTCCAAAATGGGTCACTTCATCCCGACCAACGCCACAGCTACAGCTGAAGCAACTGCTCGCCTCTTCTTCGACCGCATCATCACCATCCACGGCATCCCCGCTACACTCATCTCAGACAGAGACCCAAAATTCACGAGTAAGTTCTGGAAGGAGCTCATGGGACTGTTGGGGACAAAACTTGCAATGTCTTCAGCATACCACCCCCTGACTGACGGACAGACAGAGCGACTCAATCAAGTGGTTGAACAGTTACTGCGCACAGCTTGCAAGGACGACGTCAGCCACTGGGACACACAGTTACCGACCCTAGAGTTCGTTTACAACAACGCATCACATGCGGCCACAGGGAAAACTCCTTTCTTCCTGTGTTACGGACGGGAACCACTCACACCACAGCAGCCAACCACACCAGCACACGTCCAAGCCGCACATGACTTCGTCACCACCATGCAGCAGCTATGGGAGAAGACTCAGCGACGACTCACCACGATGCAGACCTCCCAGAAGCAGTATGCCGATCGTCAGCGACGTGATCACTCAGTAGCAGTCGGAGATCAGGTGCTTCTTGACACACGCAACTTGAACCTGTCTCACCTCCCATCCAAACTCCGGCCTCGCTTCTGTGGTCCTTTTCTCGTTGAGGCACAGGTGACACCAGTTACATTCCGCTTGCGCTTACCTACTACTTGGAAGCTTCACAATGCTTTCCATGTGCAGCTACTAAAACCCTACAAGGACCCCAACCACCAGTTCCAGGGACGGCAGCTACCGCCACCTCCACCTGTTCTTGTGCAGGATGAACCCGAGTACGAGATTGAGCGCGTTCTCTCTCATCGACGCCGCAGCGGCAAGACCCTCGAGTTCCTGATACGCTGGAAGGGATACGACCCCACTGAGGACAGTTGGGTTGCAGAAGCTGATATGGGCAACGCACGCCGTGCTCTCAAGGACTATCTTGTCAAGCAGGGTGTATCTCACGCCACCCAGCTTTGAGGGGGGGACGTGTGAGAGTACGACGGCTTATGCCAGCTATGCTTGCTTGCCTTTACTTTATCATGCTATTTCTAGCATAGGATAATCATATGCATGCATGAATTGCTTGATTTCCTAGGCTAGGTGCTTTCCTATATTTTATTATAGTTATAGCACCGAGCTAAGTTACGTGCACCGAATTCTGGCCTTTTCGGTTGTCACCGAATTGCCTTCTACCGAATTCGGTAAGGATCTGTTCGGGACGCTACGCGACCCGCGGAACCTTCGCGTAACACAGGGCCTTGTGTCGAGCCTATATATAGCCTCGTGTTGTACCCAGGTGATCATTCAATTCGACTCAATTCTCATTCTCTTTTCTGAGCTCGATCCTAGATCCTCACAGCGCGCCTGCCGCCCCCGCCGCGGGTGCGCGCGCCTGCCGCCCCCGCCGCGGGTGCGCGCGCCTGCCGCCCCCACACGTGCTGTGCCTTGGCCTTCATGGCGTCTGCGTGCGCTGTGATGGCATCTGCACCCACCAGCACGCGCACATGGTGGTCAGGGGAAACGAGATCTCAACTTAAGAATGGGTAAGGGGAAAGGGGAACCAGCAAGGGAGGCATGAAGCGATGCGAGATACAGGGAAAGTAGGGGAGAGTGGAGAGATGTAGGAAGGTGAACGGTGAAAGAAAGGAAGTTTCGGGTATATAAGAGGAGCACGGATTGAGTGAGTAGAAAGGTTAGAAGTAACAGCGTTCGCTTAATTCGGTCATCTTATATGGCACAGCCATCTAATGGCCATTCGATTGTGTACATCAATTTCATAAAAAAAGAGTTACAGACATAATACAAAGGAATAGGGCGGGATTATGGTCAACACAAGGACACGACGGGAAAGATGCAGCGCAGCGCTAACAGAAGTGCTTCTCACGTCCACGAGTCCTCCATCTCCTCAGAAGCTTCGACAAGTGTGGAGAGCACACTACGCACAAGAGGTGCATGCAATATGCAGTACGTGACATGTGCCCACCTGTCGTGCATCACAGCACCAGCGCACCTCTGCCATGCCAGGTTGCGACAAGGCATGCACCATGGCTTCTCTCCACGTCCACCCCGGCTCGTCATTTAACGCCCTCCCGTCCAACCGGTCTGCAACCCGCGGCACCACTTTGAGAATCTCAGCCACCCGCTCCTCCACACACCCCCGCACCTCCTCCATCGCCCTCTCCACTTCTTCCATCGCCCCCCTCAACCCCTCCTCTCCCCCATTTTCTCTCACTACTACACCATTTCCCTTCCCCTCCACGTCTCTCTGCTTCTTCCCCTCCCCACTCGCCCTCTCCTCTGGCTCCCGGAGCCTCTTACTCGACGGAATCCGCCCCCCAGCCTCCGCGCCTTCCCCCACGCCCCGTTCACCGCTCGCCCCCCATCCTCCTCCGCCTTCACCGCCTCCCCCACTGCCGTCCCTTGCGCGTCCTCCCCCACCCCTCGCGCACATCTCTCCCCCTGTGCGCGGACCTGCCTCACTGCCACTCGCGTGCTCCCCCGCACGTCCTCTGCAGGTGCAGAAAGGAAGCGCAAGAACTGTGCCGCGGGGAGTGGGATGGGGAAGCGGAGGAATGGACGGGAGTCGGGAGGTTCTAGGGTCGGAGGGTGTGGAGAACCATGGGGGGAGAGACAAGCGGAGAGAGGCAAGATGGGTGGGAGCGATGGGTTAGGGGACGGAAGAGGCATGAATCGGAGGGAGGCAGGCAGGAGCAGGGTAGAGCAGGAGGAGAGAGAGAGCGGGGCAGGGGAGGGGGATTACAGAGCAGAATGACCTGCTGATGTGGCACGATGGGAAGAGCGGCTTGAGCACACCTGCATGGGTTTCGGCAAATGCGCTTCCACTCTCTCGCGATTTCGCTTCGCTGCCCCGCTTAAAACCGGAGTCTCAAGTTTCCCGTAGTTGCCTCATCCTTCCTACCTTTGGTTGGGTCACAAAGTCCAACCAACCTTCCTACCTTTGGTTTTGTCACTAAGTCCAACCAACCTTCCTACTTTTGAAACCTGTGGACCCTGGGTTTTAACCGGGGCTCGTAGTACGTGTTCTCGATCCACACAGCGGCTCCCCTAATCCTCCCAGCTTCCTCCTCGATCTTCTCTGCCAGCTGCGCCACCACTCTCCCTGCCTCCCTTACCGCTCCTAACACCTCCTTTTCCCTCCTTGTTCTCGCCACGGCAGCGTCACGCGCCACCTCCCCCAGCCGCGTCTCCTCCTCACCCGCCATCCGCCGCGCCTCTCTCTGCCTTGTCGCGCTCACCAGCTTGTCCGCCCCGCGCCTCGCTCACCTCAACCGTTGCTCTCAGTGGCTCGCAGGATCGCTCTCGCGGCTCGAGATCTGAACGGTACGAGAAGCGGAAAGCCGTGACGACCCAAGAAGGTAGCTGCTGCGGTGTGAGGGCCTTTTGGAGCAAGCAGTGCGAGCACTCCATTCCAAGATTTTCCCCTTAGAAATCCCTACCTCAATGAGGGAAACCGCAAGGTTCGCGTCTACCATACCCGCTGGTAACCTCGGGTTGAGGCAACTGCCATGCACATGCGTTGGCGCGGCATGCGAGGCACTGGGAACATCGCGGCCGTTGCCGGGGGGGACAAACTCGGCTCGGGGCGCGTTCGCAATACATGGTTAACCGGAGTCGTGTCAGCATGTGGAATGGGGCATGAAGACGCCGCGACGATGTGCCACTACCGAAGTGTGCTGCGCGGGAGAACAATTTCCAGTAGAGTAACCCGCGCGCGAAAATACACCCGTGTTTGTGTTTGCGAGGAAATTCGGATCTGACATTTGTGTTTTGTATCCCTCTTGCTCCTTTCAGAGCAGCCCATTCCTTTCGCAAATCCCAAACTGATCAATTCCCACCTACCAGATTCTTTACAGAATGCGCACGGGCGTCCAAAGTTCCGCCTGTCATCCCGCATGCCGTTCCGCCAGTGTCGGTCCGCCTTTCGCTCAGTGACCACCCCTGCGCAGCGCGTCTCGCCTTGAGGTCATCTCCCGCCGACGCGCACTCCAACGCCCTCCGCGTCGCGCTGTCTCGTCGTCGCCGCTGCTCCCATCTGCTGCATCCGCACTTTTGCGCCTCCCCTCGCTCAGACCCGCACAGTGGAAGGTCAACCCATAATGGGTTTGGCCCCAACCCACTGTTGGTAGATATCTACCCCACCGTACCGCCGCACGCCCACACCGCCCTGTGCCCCGCGTGCCCTCAGCCCCGCGTGCCCTCAGCCCCGCGTGCCCTCATCCCAAAAATCGTGGGCGCCTGTCAGTATGTTTGAGAAAGTCACCTTCCAAGAGAGGCGGGTTGGGTGCAGGCCTGTCGATTCAAGGGCATATGCCCTTAATGCCCTGAACATTCCGGGCTACTTTCGCTCCAGCTCGACTGCATAAAGTGTTGGATTCGCACTGCACCCGTGCCACTAAGTGCCTCGGTCGACTCTTCCCCGGATGCGTTAAGGGCCGAAACCAGGCCTTCCCCTGTCTGAAAGTTTTGGTTTCCGATTGTAGGACCCCCCCCGCCTTCCGAGGCTGCCCGACCCCCCCCCCTCCCCCCTCCCCGCCTTTTTCCTAAGGTTGCACGAGAGCACGCCAAGTGGTTTTTTCCCTTAGCGTTTTCTAGCCAATCCCGTGTTTGTAAAGTGTCTAAGTCAAAGTCAGCTTGGTTTGGAGCACCCGAATTTTCCCTTAGCGTCCAATACAGCTGGGAGGTCCCAGGCTGGAAAACCCATCAGTTCACACTAGTAGTACGACATGAAAAACGACCACCTCGGAAGTGCTTTGCGATTGTACACACGAGTTTAAACGGCTTCTTTGCTGACAATGTTTTGCCCTACGACCCCCCTCCTCCCCTCCCCACCACTTCCCCCCTTGCTGTAGGTATCCACATGAGTCGTATTAGCTTACTCCTTCCCTCTGCTAAGTAATAGGTTAACGTCCGCCTTTGTGCCATTATGGCTCACGTACATTTTTGTAGGACGCCTGGACTTCAAGTTTTGATTTTGACCTGCGCCCGTGATCGTTAAGGGCTAAAAAACGGTCACCTTAGTCAAAATCAGGGCCAAACTTCGAGCAGCTCAGGACTCAAAGTGTTGGTCCCAGGGACTTCGACAGGCCTGGTTGGGTGTATGTTGGTGGTATGTCAGGTGTCCCTGTAGTTACTTTCTCGCAGCTTTCCAGGTTCGGAACGCAGCCAGCTCGGTTCAGTTCGAAGTAACTCACACGTAGATTTGCACATCCAACCAATCCCAGCCTCAGGAGGTGCGTGGTTTGGAATTCGAAACCTGTGGCTTCGGCTGGGGCTCTACACTCGAAAAATCTATGTGAAGAGCTGGTAACCTTGGTGGCAGTTACACAATATCTTTTGTATCTATTTCCCACATTTGCTTATTTGCTGTTTGTAGAGCTTGCTTTTTGCTAGAAATAATTGAAATTATGCTTATGCTTTACAGCTAAGTTTCAGCATGTGTACATGTTTTACATATACTGTCGTGCTTTAATACGCCGGTGGATGCTTGGTTTGGGGTAGCTAAAAAATCTGCGTAATCTTGTACATGGAATTTGTAACATCGATGGAATGTATACTTTTGATGATATATATAGTAATAAGATACCGCATAAAAAAATAAAACCGCTCCCTTAATACGACACCATATAGCGCCCATGCCTATCCTTGAACAAATTTGGTCCGTTCTGCGCACGGACGCTTGTATACATATCCTAACCAGTTATGAGCAATCTCAAACCCGAATAGCCTCACCTAGATACATAGTAGAAGCTAGTGGTAGAACGAAACGGGAGTTAAAATAAGGAACGGAGCTCTAAACTGCCGATAGTGTGGTGACAGCCTATCCTTGAACAGATTAGGTCCGTTCTGCGCACCGACGCTTGTATACCTATCCAAATCAGTTGCGAATGATCTCAAACCCGGACAGCCTCATCTAGATACATAGCAGAGGCTAGTGGTACAAAGAAACGGGAGTGTAATAAGAGACGGGGTTTTAAACGGCTGATAGCGTGTTGGCTGCCTATCCTTGAACAGATTTGGTCCGTGATGCGCACGGACGCTTGTATACCTACCCAAATCAGTTGCGAATCATCTCAAACCCAGAATGCCTCACCTAGGTACCTAATAGAGGCTATTGGTACAAAGAAACGGGAGTTAAAATAAGAGACGGGGCACCAACCTGCTGATAGTGTGTTGACTGTCTATCCTTGAACAGGATTGACCCGTTCTGCGCACCGACGCTTGTATACCTATCCAAATCAGTTACGAATGATCTAAAACCCGGACAGGCTCACCTATATACGTAGTAGATGCTAATGGTACAAAGAAACGGGAGTTAAAACAAGGGACGGGGCACTAAACCGCTGGTAGTGTGTTGACTGCCTATCCTTCAACAGATTTGACCCGTTATGCGCACCGACGCTTGCCTACCTATCTAAATCAGTTGCGAATGACCCTTAACCCGGACAGCCTCACCTAGCTACATACCGTCATACCCCGGATATAAGCGCCACCCTCGGATAAGCGCCTGGCACTTTTAATTGGCATGTAGCGCTTATATCCCCTGCTCGATTATAAGCGCACCCCCTGAAAAAACTTGTTTTATTATAAGCGCAGGCAAACTTAAATTTTGAAATGTTTTCAAAACGCTGTAACGATTTTTACTTTAGCAGGCGGATGTGTCAAAACATATGCATAATTGTATCTAGGCTATATTGGGGCTATCCTTAGGGGGTACAGAAATAGTCTCGACACTCTAGTCTTGTACCCCAATCTTCACCTAATCTCATCATTCTCGTTTCTTTCCTCACCTAGCTAGTGATTGTAACATGGTATTAAGAGCACAATGCTCCTTAGGACCGAATTTTAAAAAAGGGCCCACCACTACTATTTCGATCTACTGCCCGAGTCGCGCCCCTAGGAGAAATGCGAAATTCGAAACCGTGCTCTAGGCGAGACGGTTCCCTAGACGCGATTTTCCCTCCTAGTCACGTGCGACCCCCCCCCCTGACCGCGCCCTAGCTGCCAGTACAGCCCGCGTAGGCCCGTCGCGAAGCCCGTACAGCCCGCGTAGGCCCGTCGCGAAGCCCGTACAGCCCGCGTAGGCCGTCGCGAAGCCCGTACAGCCCGCGCCAGGCCGTCGCGCAGCCCGTACAGCCCGTGCCAGGCCGTCGCGCAGCCCGTACAGCTCACGTCAGGCCCGCACCCAGCGTGTAAAGCCCGCGCCAGGCCCGCACGCAGCCCTTACAGCCCGCGCCTGGCCCGCACGCGGCCCGTGTTACTGCTACTCACTGCTGCTGCTACTGAAGCTAGTGCTGCTACAGCTAGTGCTACTGCTACAGCTCCTACTACTGCACTTGCTACAGCTAGTGCTACTGCTGCAGCTCCTACTACTGCACTTGCTACAGCTAGTGCTACTGCTGCAGCTCCTACTACTGCACTTGCTACAGCTAGTGCTACTGCTGCAGCTCCTACTCCAGCGCTTACTGCAGCTGCTCCTAACAGAAGCTACTGCTGCTACAGCCCCTGAAGCAGCCGCCCCTGGTGCAGCCGCCCCTGGACCCTGGACCCTCGAGCAGCCGCCCCTGGGCCCAGAGCAACCGCCCCTGGCCCCTGAAGCAGCCGCCCCTGGTGCAGCCGCCCCTGGACCCAGAGCAGCCGCCCCCGGCCCCTGAAGCAGCCGCCCCTGGTGCAACCGCTTTGCACGCCCTCGCGTGCCCCTAGCGTACCGGCCCCGCCCCACTAGCCCGCCCTTGCTGGCCCCGTGAGACCAGGCCCCGCCCTACTCTGCACGCCCGCGCGTGCCTCCCCCCGCGCAGCCCTGCCCTTGCAGCCCCGCTTGCGCCCTGTCACACCCGAGCCGCGCCACCTTACCGAGCCGCGCTGCTGTTCCTGCTGTCACTACTGCTCCTACTGCAACTATGGCTAGCCATACTGTGCTCGCTTTCGATGCTGAGGGCCGCCCACTGAAATTTGACACCTGGCTCGATGACCTGCACCTTTTCCTCCAGCTCACTGCCAAGGAGGATATTTCACTGTACGATCACGCGCTAGGACACGCTGCTGCTCCTGCTGCCACTGCTGACAGCACTGCCCGTTCACAGTGGCAGACTCGTGACGCCCACGCTCGCTTCGCTATTCGCAACTCCCTGCCGATAGATGAACGCGAACACTTTGGCCAGCACAAGACTGCACAGGCACTGTACACTGCTGTAGTCGCACGCTA